CACACGCCGGCACTCTGAGATCTGCCATCTCCCCCCGCCGCCCCCCCTCCCGGAAGGGGTGCTGACTCCGCGCCCACAGCGGCGGGTAGAAAGCATTTGCCGTGCCCCCGGTTCCGGAGCACCAGCGCCCCCCCCCCCCGCCCCCGGCCGCCGGCGCCGCGGAGCGTGTTAATACGCGGGGGCGGGGGCCAGAGGCATAGTCTCTGGGAACGGCCGGATCGTGGACCGTCACCAACACCGCAACAAGGGGGCGGGGCTCGGGAGGTCCATTGGCGGCTGTGTCGGCCCTTGGGCGCTCGGGCGTGTCCGTGCCCCGATGCGGACACTGTGGCGTGTGTGTGTGCGTGTGTGTGGATGCGGGATGTGGAGGAGCCCGGGTGCGGGGGGCGGGGGGGCATTTGTGTTGGGCTTCTTCCCGCGGCGGGGCAGAAACGGGCCTTCTTTCCGGCGCCGTGTGCACAGACACACACACACACACACACAGAGAGGGAGAGCGCTTCTCGACAGTTTCCCCAGTGGGCGGGCGGCCGGCCGGGCGTTTCCGGCCCCTGCCCCCCCTCCCCCCCCCCCCACCGCTGCCCAGGGCCGAGGGCAACGTCAAACCGTGCACCCGCGCGCGCGCGCAGCTCCGCGGAGCCGCAGTCAGTCGGGAGCTGTGCCCCCTCTATCCCCCAACAGAGGGGCGCCGAGCGATCTCTACAAGCGTCTGGGGGGGGGGGGGGCACAGCAACAAACGCAAGGAATCACCTAAAATGGGGACACGTCGCCGCTACGACGGCGAGACCCGGCCAAGATGCAGGCCCCTCGGAAGTGGGCGGCTCCCGTGTGTGTGCGCGCGCGCGCGCGCGCGCGGAAAACAAGAAGCACGCCTCTCCCTCGCCTCCCCTGACCCTGGGCGAACCACCGGGGGGCGCCCGCTCCTGTTGTCTCTGCCCTCGTCCCCCCCCTCCGTGACCGTGTGTGTGTGTGTCTGTCAGTAGATGTGGGTGGTCTTGTCAGAGCGCCCGACGGCCGGCCCGCCCCCGGCCAGGACTCGCGACTATGTGCGCGCGCGCGCGCGCGCCCCGCGCTAGATGGCAGATCGGCGCGCCTGTCCGTCCAGGGGGTGTATTTTTGTGTAAGCCCTATCCCGGCGTTGGGCTCCCCCCGCCCAGTCATTACCTCCTCCGGCAGCCAGGCCGGCAGGGAGTTTGCCAGGGGGCGCAGGGGTGGGAACATGGCCCCCAGCGGCGCAAGTGCGTGTGTACACACGCGCGTACGCGCGTCTGCATGCGCGCGCTCGGGGGTGAACATCGCACCTGGGAGCCCATCTCCGCGCGCCGCGGCGTGGACCATGCCCATCCCCTGGGTGCGTGTGTGCCGTCCCCCGCCGTTCTGGCGCCCCTTCCGCGAGAGGGCCCGCCCGCCAGCCCGGGGGACCTGGGACACGACCGGCCGGCCGCCGTTAACACCGCCTCCCTAACCGCCGCGGCGGGCTGGACCCTCTAGTCTCTCTCTCTCTCTCTCTCTCTCTCTCTCTCTCTCTCTCGCCCGGGGAGCCGGCTGACAAACCGTTTCCCTCCGAGGGCACGCCGACACGCGAGCAGGGGGGCGATCCCCCTCCCCGGGGCCCGGAACTGGACTCCCCGTTCGGGGGGATAATGGGCCTTTCTTTATTATGCCGCCGTTCCTCTATCCCTCAAGACGACGGACCGTGGTGCGTGGGAGGCCAAGACACCGACGCGCGCCGGAGACTTCGCCCGCCCCCCCCCCCCCCCGCTTCCCCCTCAACACGGCTGCGCGGAGGGGAGCGCCTGCCGGTGCCGCTCTAGCCCCGCTGCGGTCCCCCCCCCCCGGGCGGGCGGGCGGGGAAGGCAGGCAGACGCAAACTGGCGCGCGCCGGGCGCATATTATTGTGCACATCCGCGCCCCCACCCCCTCAACCCCCCGGGGAGCCGGAGCGCCCGAGCAGGGGCGCGGGGGTCGAGAGCGGGTCCAACCGCCTCCGGCCCGCCTCCCTTGTGTGCCGGGCCCGAGGCGGGGTCGGGGCGGGCGGGCGGGCGGCCGACGCCCGGAGGCCGCAGCCAGCGCCGGGACACTGGCCGGCGGGGGGCGGTTATCTTTTTTCGCGACCCGGCGCCCGTCCCGGCACCGCGGATGGCGGCCATCCGTTATCCCTCCCCCCCCTCCCCTTTTGATCCTTCCCCCCTCCCTCTTCCCCCTCTGCGCCTTCCTGCCGCTGTCGCTGTCGCCGTCGCCACCGTCGCCGCCACCGCCGTCGCCACCGTCGCCTTAGCCCCGAGTGCCCGCGCAGCTCCGGCCTTTCCCCCGGTATCCCCCCTTGCCCAGCTCACGGCTCCACACCCGTCCCCTTTCTCTCTCTCTCTGTCTCTCTCTCTCTCTCTCTCTCTCTGTCTCTCTCTCTCTCTCTCTCTCTCTGTCTCTCTCTCTCTCTCTCTCTGTCTCTCTCTCTCTGTCTCTCTCTCTCTGTCTCTCTCTCTCTGTCTCTCTCTCTCTCTCTGTCTCTCTGTCTCTCTGTCTCTCGGTCTCTCCCCCCTCACCCCCACCTTCCCGCCCCCCTTTCTTCCCCACCCTCCCCTCGACGGCCCCGGTCGCGCGTGCGCCTAGGCTGTCCCCACTCGGATAACCCACGCCCACTCTCCCGGTAGACCTCCCCTCGTCTCTCCCCAGGTGTGTGTATGTGTGACCCCGCCTCCCGGCCCCCGCCCCCCTCCCCCGGCCCCGCCTTCGCCTTCGCCTTTTCCTTACCCCACGCCCCGCAGCATGACCTCCACTTCGGCGACCGCCGGGGCGGTCGCCGCCCCGCACGCTGGAGCCGCGTCGCCGCCCCCCGCCGCCCCCGAGGCGCATGGTGACCTCGCCGTCGCCGCCTCCCCCCACCCGTCGGCCTCCTCATCGACCATCGAGTCGGACTCGCCAGGACCCGCCCCGATGGCCTCTCTGCCTCTCCCCTCGCGCGAGGATGACACCTCGGACCCCGAGGAGGACGACGAGGACAATGACGAGGATGAGGACGACGAGGAGGAGGACGACGAGGACGACGAGTCCTACGACGACGGCTCTTCCGACATCTACGTCGATGCCTTCACCGACAATGGCGCGCCACACGCCTCGGCCGCCATCATCGGCGGCTACGCCGAGCACTCGGACCACCATCACCACCACCACCACCATCACCATCACCACTCCGACGGCGGCCCGGCCACCGGCCCCAGCAGCCCCGGCCAGCCGCACCAAACCGACGAGTACAAGCTGATCGCCAAGCTCCTGGATCTGGACGATCCGCGCATGACCGAGGACCTGCTGAATGTCTTCCTCGAGCACGGTGCGCCCTCCCTTTTGTCTCCCCTGCCCCGCCCCTCGCCCGATCCATGCGCGTCACCTTGCGGCGCCCCCCCCCCCCCCCCCCCCTGTCCCATGTCCCGCCACGCTCACCTCTGCCGTCCCCCTTGTCTGTCGGCCTGGCCGCCCGTGTACAGACTCCGCCCTCGAGCAGCTGGTCATGTTCATCACCCGCAATGACCCCACCTACAAGCCGGTGCCGTGCGTGTGCTGCCCTGTGGCCATCCCCCCCCCCCCCCCCGCCCCATTGCTCGTCCACTCACCCCGCGTCGTGGCTTTCTCTCTCTCCCTCTCTCCCCCCCTCCCCGGCCTGCCCCACTGCCCGCACTCTCGGTGGCTGCAGCGGCGCGCCTCCCCGCGAGCGCGACCAGTTCGCCGACCCCATGGCCCTGCGCCGGTCCTACCACGCGATGGAGCTCCTGTCGGATGCCAACTCGCCCATGACCAACAAGCTGATCGTCCACCGGTGCCCGAAGATCCTGCTCTGTCTGTTCCGCATCTTCGACCCCGACTCGTATGGCAACTTCCACCACTTCCGCCGCGTGCTGGACATGCTCCTGCGGAACAACGCCCTCCTGGTGCGCTCGCATGTCCCGGGGTGGTCCCCCTTGCCGTGTCCCTGCATCTTCGGGTTTTTTTCTGCCCCCCCCCTCTCTTGGGTCCTGGGCCCGGCTCTCCTTCCGGCTTCTGACTCCTTCCCCTGTCCCCCCCCCCCTCCCTCCGTTCTATCCACACGCAGGTCATCCACTTGGTGTCTACCAAGATGCCCAACACCGGCGAGCCGCTCATGTCTCGCATGCTTGAGTACGTGCCCCTCGCCCCCCCCCCCCTCGTCCCAATCCATCCTGAAGACCGGCGCTCACACATACACACACACACACACAGCTACCTCGAAGACTCGTCCGTGTCCACGGTCATGGGCACGCTCCTGTTCTTCCCCCTCCCCACCTCCGAGCGCATCGCCTTCTACCAGCGCCTGCGCGAGGTGAACCTCTTCAAGCATGCCGTGGCGCACATCGGCCGGGCGGACCCCTTCGACTCCTTCGCCATCGGGGACTTCCTGGTCCGGGTGATCGACGAGAGCCCGCGCCTGGAGACCGCCAACTTGATCATCAACCACCTGGTCCCGCAGGCGCAGTACGAGCAGCAGCAGCAGCAGGCCCAGCTGGGGGGCCCCGGCTCCCTCGGGGGCGCCGGCGGCCACCACGAGCCGCCGACATTGCACAAGTTCGTCGAGGCCGAGCTGGAGGCCTTCTGCGCGGACTTCCCGGACATGGTCCTCCCGGCGGAGGGCCGCGTGCCGCAGGTGTCCGACGCGTCGCCCGACTCCGAGACCATGCTCGACTGGCTGCTGGACATTGCCCTGTCCCGTGACGCGCACATTGGCAATGCCCAGCGCTCGGTGGCCATGCGCGTGGTGCTGACGTTGCTCGGGAAATCGTGCGTCCTCGCCGGGCCCGCCGGGGGCCGGCCTTTTCATGCCCTCGCGTTGTGGGTCCCTCTTCCGGCCCAGCTCACCCTTCTTCCCCCGCCCCCCCCCCCCACGCCCCCCTGCACAGCACTCCCAACTTCTTCGAGGTGGTCATCCCCTCCGGCAATGGCGTGGCCCTGGAGAACCAGCGCCTGGTCAATGGGCTGCACCCTTTCTACTCGTCCATCTCGCAGTACCTGCGCAACCGCATGCCGGACCTGCTGCGCCTGCTGATGGACCCGTTCTACGTGACGGAGACCGACGCGGAGAAGGCCTCCTCCGGCTTCCCGGTGTCGGTGTCCTTCTCGGCGTACGACGTGTCCCGGTGCTTCCCCTCGCTGCGGCTGGTGGTGCTGGAGCTGATCTTCGAGCTGTACCACGAGCTGGATCTCAACCAGGACTTCGACCAGGCCAGCGATTCCGAGTGCGAAGACCCGGCCGGCGGGGCCATCGATGGGGATGGCTTCGGCGCCGGGCCCGGGGCCACCGGGACCGGCACCTCCGGCAGCCTGTCCGCGCATTTCCTGTACGACGGCGAGCCCGGGGCCCCGTCCTCCTCGTCGGTGGCGCAGCTGCAGAAGTTCCTGCGCTTCCTGGACGTGGACTTCTGGCGCTGCCTGACCACCTGGTTCATCCAGCACCCGCACAACAACCTCTACCACACGCTCTTCTTCAAGCTCTTTGTCACGGCCCTGCGGCATAGCCACCTGTGCGCGCGGACCATGCGCACCATGGTCCTCCGGTCCGGCATCATCGGGGCCATGGTCGCGGCCACGGGGTTCCCCCTGCCGGCCGAGGAGCTGCGCCTGGTCCAGCGCGACTTCCCGGACCTGGACTTCGAGGCGCTGATGGCGTCCGCCGGCGCCGCCTCCTCCGCCGGCGAGACTGTCGACCCCTCGGCCGACGATCTAGACCACCAGCAGCAGCAGCAGGTGTCCCTCTCCGGGTCCGGGGGGGCGGCCGGCTCCTCCTCCTCCTCCTCCGGCGGCGGCCCCGGCCTGTCGTATGACGACCCGCTGTTCATGTTTGCCCCGGACATCAGTGCCGAGGTGGCGACGCAGCCGGCCGCGCCGGTGGACGACACGCATGACGAGCACGCGGCCGGGGCCGGGGTCGTCGGCGGCGTCGGGCTTCCCCGGCAGTCGCCCCCTCCCACGCGTGGGTATGCCCTGCTGCTGTTGAATGTCATCCGCCTGACGGCGGACTCCCTGCCGGAGCGGGCCTTCCTGCCGAATGAGCTGGCCCAGCACCCGGTGTGGCGGCTCTTCCTGCCGATCCTCCGGGTGGAAACCCGCCGGCAGACCCTGTCCCTGGTGGACTTGGTCCGGCGGCGGCGGTCCATGTCGGTGGCGGGCACCGGGCCCGGGGGCCGTGGTGCCGGCGGTGCCCTGGACCTCGATCGTCTGATGGAGTACTCCGGGCATCATGACCTGCTGGGCCAGCCGCCGCTCATGATGGGGTCCTCCTTCCTGGGCGGCGCCGGTGGCGGGCTGCATGATCTGGATGACTACGACTCGCCGATCTACCGGCGGCCGCTGCCGTATGCCGGGCCGCTGCCGGCGCCGATCCTCGAGCACTCCAGTGACTATGGTCTTGGCGGGCAGGACTTCGGTGTTGGCCAGCTGGATGACTATGTCAACCCGTCCCCCTACACCAGCGAGGACCAGCTGCGCATGTTTGTCATGAACTCCTTCCAGCCGGATGAGATTGATTTGGGCTCGCAGTGTGCGTCGTCATCATCATGGCGAGGGGGGGGGGGGCTGTTGGCCTTTTTTTCTCCCTTGCTTTTTTGTGGTGTTGTGCTTTTTTTTTTTGTTGCCCGTGTGTCTGACTCCATCTGCCCCGGTTCTCCTTTTGTGCTATCGCATCTTTGTGTGTTTGTTTCTTTCTCTCTCTCTCCCCCTCTCCTCCCTCCGTTGCCGCGCATGTGCACACATAGTCGCCTACTCGCTCGGCTTCACCGGGGTCTTCCGCGGTGGCTCGGACGCCATGACCGACGAGTAGGAGGAGGAGGACAGCGATGCCGTCTCCGATGGCGGGTACTCCGACGAGGAGGACCCCTTCACGCCGGAGACCAGCGCCGAGTTCGCGATCGGCGAGACATCGCCCGAGCCATACACCGCCGCGGGTCGCGACATGCGCCCGGGCAATGGGGACCTCGCGTCCTACTCGCCGTCGATCCTGGTGGACGCCATGGCCAACCTGTCGGTCAACTCGCCGGCCGGGGGGCGCGGCCTCGGCGGGGCGGTTCTCTTCCCGGAGGAGGAGGAGGAGGAGGAGGAGGAGGAGGCCTCCGACATGGCGGCCGGCCCCAACGCCGGCGGCCAGCTCCAGGTGGATGACCTGGACATCCAGCCGACCTCGGTTTCCTCGCCACGCATGGTCGACGGGGAGGATGGCACGCACTTCGAGCTTCCGGCCGACGGCGGCGACGAGAGCGCCGGCCAGGTGGCCGGTGGCAACAGCAACCTGTCCGGCGGCCAGCTTTCCCTCTCGTCTCCGGCTGGGCCTGGCGACGAGGCTGCCGAGGAGCATGTGCCGACCGCGGCGAAGGACTCCACCGCGACCGGACCGACCAGCCCCAATCCGGTGACCACCCCGGAGGCCAACCGTCCGCCCCGCCGGCGGCGTGGGTCCCGGGTGCAGCCCCGTGCCACCGGCTCCGCCGCGGCCCAGCACCAGTAATCGTCGCAGCGCGTGCGGGGGCCGGGGTGGGGGCGGGGGGTGAGAGGGCCATCGACAGAGCAGTGGCGGCAGCTGTGCCGGCGGGGGGCGGGTGGGTGCGCGCCGGACGGCGCTCCCGACGGCGCCGCATGCGCTCGGCCCCTCCTGACCTTGTTTTTAGTCCTCCAACGCCTCGCGCGCGCGCCCGGTGCGCGCGTGCATCCGCGGGGAGGCGTGGGCCGGCGAGCGGCGTGGATAGCCGAGGGGGGGGGGGGGGGCGGAGGGAGGCCGGCGGATGCGCTCCTCCATCACCCCTGTGCGCGGCTGGACCGGGGCCCGGTGTCCTGCCCAGTGCCGCCCTTCCCCCCCTCCTTCCCTACCCCCCTTTTTTCTTCCCCCACCTCTCCGGCCGTCGGCGCCGCCTGCCCATGTGCTGTCTCTTGTGCATCTGCCTGCGTGTGTGTGTGCCGTCCATGCGAGCATGGCCGCCCTCTCCGTCCTCATGTGCATCCATAGCCGGGCGCCCACGCGCCTCTGTACACACGCGCGCGCAGGTACCTATGAAAGCGCACCGCGCAAACACAAACGCACACAACCCCCCCCCCCCCCCCCTCCCCACCGTGTAGCACACAATATACCCATATAGAGAAAGTGTGGAAAAGCGGGCGGCCGGCCAGCGGCGAGACTGCGCACGTGGGCCTTCTTCTTGCTGGGAGCGGATGCGCGCGGGGGGAAGGGGCTCGGCCGGTGGCGATCCGCGCGCGCGCGCGCGCGTGAGTGTGGGGCGTAAAAGTCCGTATGTGTGTGTGTGTGTGTGTGTGTGGGGGGGGGGGGGGGGGGGGGGGGGGGGGGGGGGTGGGTGTGTGTGTGTGGGGTGGGGTGGGGTTCGGGGGGGGGGGGGGGGGGGGGGGCATGTGCCCCCGCACTGGCCAGCCGGGGGGCGCATGCGCGTGCGCGCCATCCCCGGGGGCCGATCGGGCGATCGCGCGCCTTGCCGGGACACCCGGGGTGGGCCCGTGTCGGGGCTCGGCCATCCGGCTCGCCGGGCCGGAGGGGCGGCCACGATCGCGGGGCCGCGCCTCCTTTGAGCTGGCCACCCGCGGAGGGGGGGGGCCCCTGGCGCCAGGGAGGCCATCACCACGTGTCGCGCCTCCGCCGCTCCCCGCCTCCGCCTGTCTCCGGGCCTCCCTGGTCCATCGTCTCGTTGCCGCTCGCGCGCGTCCTCCCCCTCTCCCCCCCCCCCTCTCTCGCTTCCTGCCCGGCGGAATATATCACGCCTGATGTCGCTCGACCGGACGCCCCCCCTGCTGGTCGAGGGCGCGTGTGACCTGGGCGCCTTCGTCCAGGCGGCGCGCGATCTTGGGCCGGACCTGGCCGCGGCGCTGCGACGCCTGCTTCCAGACGCGCCGGCGCCCGGGGCCGGTGTCCTCTCGGTGGCCTTCGTCCTGGGCAACGACCTCCCCTCGGCCGTGGTTCTCGGGGCCCTGGCGCACCTGGCCGCCATGGCCGCCGTCGGGGCGCCCCTCCTGCCGGAGCTCCAACTCACGCTGATCCCCGACGCGCGGGCCACCGTATGTACATGCATTGCCTCCCCCCCCCCCCCCCTCCCCCTCTCCCCCCCCCCCCCCCCCGTTCCTCTCTCTCCTTCGCTCCTCTCCCCCTCCCTGCCCGAAGGGCCGCCCCTGCGCCCCATGCGTGCGCGCATCACACACACACACACACACACACACAAACGCACGTCCAGCTGTTCGCCCCCTGACATGCCCCGCTCGGCCCTGCGCCGCCCTGCCGTGCCCCGCAGGGGGAGGTCCTCCAAACGGTGGCCTGCGATGCCCTGCCGCGAGCGGTCATCGCCGTGGCCGCTGACCGCAGCCCCGACGGTCGCCCCCGGCTGACGTGCACCCACCAGGCGGACCCCCTGCTCGGTGCGGGGGCCCTGCTGCCGGCCGACCTCCCCCTGGTCCTGGAGCGTGGGCAGGCACCGGCGGGGCCCCCGCCGCCCGGCAGCTCGGCGCTGCCCTTTGCCACGGGCCGGGCCCCCGCACAGGAGGTCCGTTTGCTGACCTCCGGCTCGACCGGGGCCGTGAAGCTGGTGGCGCTCTCCTGGCCGGCGGTATGGCGGCAGGCACGCGCGTGGTTCGACTCGGCCTTCATGCCGGCCGGCGGGCCGGGCCCGGGGCAGGCCGGGCGTCTGCCGGCCGGCGGGTGGGCCTGCCTGCCGGTGTCGCCGCTGGCCCATGCCTATGCCATCAATGCCTTCTTTGCCTTTGCCCTGCCGCTGCTGGAGCTGGCCCCGGCCCAGGGCGACAGGTACCCGCCGGGGCAGCTGCTCTTCCTGGCCGACGGGCCGGCCGGCCTGGGGGCCATGCTGCGCCGGGCGGCCGCCCGCCGGGTGGCCCTGACGGTGTGGGCCTCGCCGCCCTTTTACCGGCGGGCGGCGGCCGCCAGCGGCCCCGGGGCCATCTGCGATCCGGCCCCCGGGGCATGGCTCTACTGTGCGGGCTCGCCGCTGGACGCGGAGCTCCGAGCAGCGGCTCCCCCGGGCCTGGGAGCCCCGCTGCTGGCCAATTACGGCTCCACCGAGACCGGGCTGATCGGGGCCTGCTGGCCGGGGCGCGCGGCCGGGGCGCCTGTCGGCCACCAGGGCGCCGGCCGACGCCGGCCGGCCCTCACCTTTGCGGGGGTGCCGCTTGCTACGGTTGAGCTGCGCGGCCCGGAGGCCGGCGCCTGGCCGGCCGGCTGCTCGCTACGCCACCCGGCCGAGCGGGGCGAGGTGCTTGTCCGGTCGGCCTGGCTCGGGCGCGGCTACCTCCATGCCGGGCAGGTGGTCGCCTTTCCCCTGGATGCCGGGGGCTTCTTCCGGACCGGCGACGCGGGGGCCCTCCTGCCGGGGTACGTGCCCGGCTGGCCGGCCTCACCGGCCTGTGGCCCCTTCTCCGCGGCTGCGCCGCACGCGCGCGCATTGTGTGTCCGATGCTGATCCCCCCCCCCCCCCCACACACACTCGCACCTTTTTGCTATGCGCCAGCCATGACGGGCGCCCGGAGATCTGGCTCGGCGGGCGCCTGCGGCCGGGGCCGTGCCTGCCCGCTGGCGGCGGCGCGCACCTGGACCTCCGCGCGGTGGAGGAGCTGCTGCTGGAGGGGCTGCCCGTGAGCGAGTGCGCCGCGGTGGTGATCCCCCCCGGCGGCCGGGGCGCCTGGCGCCTGGCGGTATTTGTGGCCCCGGCGGCCGTGGGCCACTTGGCGGCCTCCGCCAGCCTGCCGGCGGCCGTGGTCCGGCTTCTTCTTGAGCACCAGCCTGCCCTGGCGGTGGTGCCATTCGGCCCGGGGGATGTGGCGGTCCTGCCCCAGTTGCCCCGGTCGCTGGCCGGGAAGCTGCTGTACTCGGAGCTTGTGCGTGCGCTGCCTGGGGATCGTGGCGGCGCGGTGCCGCCGGCCGCTCCTGCTCCTGCTCCGCCGCCTGCGCCGCATGATGGCCCCCAGCCGGCCGGCGCGGAGGGGCCCACCCCCAGCGGGTAGCGCAGCCGGGCCGGGCAAATGCATGCCAGGGCCCTGCGCACATCTCCCAAGCATGTGTGCGCGGGGGTGTCCCCCGCCTCCGGCCAGGGCGGGGGGGGGGACGGCCCGGCGAGAGTGTGCCCGGCGCCGCTGGCTGTCTGTGTGTTACATATAAAGATCCATGTGCACATGCCCGTGTGTGTGTGTGTGTGTGTGGGTGCATTTCCCGTGGGCCGCCTCCTCGGGCTCCCTCAATCAAGGGGGGGGGGCGGGAGACAGAGCCGCGCGCTGCGGCGGGGCGTGGTGGATGGGCGCAGGGTGAAAAAAAAATTGTTGTGCTTTCTTTTATAGCGTGTCATCCTTGCGCAGGTGGCCATGCTAATCTTCTCTGTATTGTTCCAATTTTTAGATATGTCCAGGTTCCGTAGAACCGGACACCCAATGGCGGGGACGCACGGCTTATATACCCCTCGGTGGGCATACTCCGCGGCACACGGACGCACTTTGAGCCCCTCAGATACAGCATCACGTGTACACACGGGCGCCAGGACAAAGCCCCTCGGCTTTGCGCGCGGCCCCGTGCCCGAGCTGGCCGTGCGGCGGGGGGCCGGGAGAGGACGCCCGCGCCGCGAGCTGGCCGTGCGGCGGGGCCCGGGGCAGCCAGCCACGCTCTCGCGGGCACACCCGCGGCACCGCCCTCCCTCCTGGCTGGGGTGCTGCGGCGGACCGTGCGCGCAGGGGGCGAGGAAGTCGCGCCCGTGTTTGTGCCAATCCCGGCCGCGGGCCCTCCCGCCCGCCCCGCCACCCGCGTCGCAAGATGCCCAGCGCTCCGCCGGCCGGAGAGGTGGTGTCCCTGGCACTGTGCCGGCGCGCCCCCGTGGCTGTGTGTGTGCGGAGTCAGCCTTGTGGCCTACCCGCCGCTTGTTTTTTTTTTTTTCTAATCCACCGCCGCCCCACCTGTCCCCGCACAGGGACCCCTCACAGCGTACAGCTCGGCTCCTCTGCTCGCTGGTCGGAGTTCGGCGATTCCACTTACTGCCCTGGTGCTCATTGGCCGCTTCCTCTCCTCACCGCCGGCCGCGCTGCCCAAGTCGAATCCAGCCCTCTGGGGCGCCCAGCATCCTCGCCAGGCTCCGACCTAGCCACCCCCCCCCCAGCTGCGACTCTTTCACACACACACATGCACCAGCCCTCTCAATCAGGCCGCAGAGAGGATGTCTATCTGTGTGTATTTCTCGCCGTCGCCAGGCACGGCCGGGCACCAGGCAAGCAACTCCCACCCAGGGGGAGCATAGGGGGGCAACGACGCAGGGCGATGGGGCAGCCGCAGCAGGAAATGGCGCCCCGACCGACACGGGCCAGGCGCCACCCACCCCCCGGCACCGGGAGAGGCAGGGGGCGCTTCTAGGGGGTCTCCTCCTCGGCCATGCGGGCGGCCGCCTCGCGCAGCACCGCCTCGGACACCGTCCCCAGGGCCACGAGCCCGCGGCGGGCGGCCGACTCGAGGGCCGATTCGTGCCCACCGCCCGGCGCCCGGAGGCGCAGGCGATCGGCCGTCCGGCGCTCGGTGATGCTAAGGCCCCCGGGCACCCGGGTGGCGCTGCCGGCCGAGTCGGCCGGCGTCGACACCTCCACGAAGCGATTGAACCGGTGCCGCGTGCCGAACAGGCCATCATGCACCTCGTAGTCATCCTCCTCGCCCTCCACGCGGAAGCCCCTGGCCACATGCGACGGGTACCGGCTGTCCACCATGAAGAGGGCCGTCTGGCCGAGGATGCCGTGGGGGTTGACCGGGCGCGCGTGCAGGCTGACCCCGACATTGATGTAGGCGTCGGCCATGGTGGCCCGGCCGGACTCGATGACCGCCCGGCCGGACACCTGCCACGTGTCGGTCTTCAGCGTCAGCCGGTGCGTCCCGTCCAGGTGGTCCACCAGCAGGTGGGCCCGGCCCTCGTCCAGGGCGTACGGCCGCCGGCCGCGGGCCGCCAGCTTGTCCCCATTGACAAAGACCCCGAAGTGCGGGTGGAAGGCCACAATGTCCCGGCCCACGCGCATGCCCAGGCGATTCATGTACGTCCCCTGCAGGGCGTCCAGCCGCGTGAACTGGGCATTCAGCGCGAAGTCCCGGTCCGACACAATGGAATACACCCGGCCGGCGTGGCCGCCAAAGTAGTAGTCCGCCCCGTTGAAGCCCTTCATGTGGGGGTCCTGCTTGCCGCTGCCCTGCTCCACCGGCTGGCAGTTGTCGATGGTCCGGCACCGGGCCGGCTCCTCGCCCTCGCACTGGTAAATGGGGCTGGCATTGAAGATGCACTGCCGCGGGTCCGACAGGACCTTGACATTGCGCCCGGACCGGCAGTCGCTCACGGTCTGGAAGCACCGCACCCGCCGGGGGCACTTGCAGGTCAGCTCGCGCGGCACCCGGTGCCCGGGCCCGCCCGGGGCCGCCGGCTCCGTGGCCGCCGTCTCGTCCAGGGGCGGCGCCCCGATGGCCGGCATCATGATCGCCGGGTCGGCCGCCACATCGGCCGCGTCGGCCACGGTCACCCCGGCCTGGTCGTGGCCCGTGGCCATGGCCGCCGCGTTCGCCGGCGCTTCCTGGCCCTGGGGCACCGGCGCCGCCCCGGCCAACGGGGCCAGCAGCGTGCCGAGGGCCAGCAGCAGCCCGGTCGCCGCGAGGCGCGTCATGGGGCCCTGTCCGTGCTGCGAGTTGGTCATGGTGTCGTCGGGTGGTGTGTCTGGGGGGGGGGGGCG